TTATAAGGTACGAGCGGCAGATCAGGACGAAGGAACAAACGGCGAAGTCTGGTATACAATCATCAATGGGAACGAGAATGAGTCGTTTTCACTAAATCGTGAAACTGGCATCCTGTACCCCGCAGCCGCCCTCCTCGGCAGAGCTGGTTCTTACAGAATCGAGGTCGAAGCACGTGACGGCGCCGGAAGTGGTCCACACTCAGACAGATGTTATGTCGACATAAGAGTCACACCTGTGAATCAGCATAAACCGCAGTTCGTAATGCCAGAATTGACAAACGCGACCGTGGAAGTGCCAGAAGTACGTACAGAAGAAAAAATATTTTTTGTTTGTCAAGAATAAGTATAAATAATATAATATATGAAATATTAATGTAATATGGTGGTTAATTTTCAGAATGCAGGTGTGCCGAATTATCTAATATTAACTGTAAAAGCAATCGACAGAGATCCTGGCGAGAATGGCCGTGTTAGCTATCATTTGAAAATCGGTAATAGAAACGTTCAAGAAACTGAAGAATTTTCTATAGACCAAGAGACTGGCGAACTTCGATCGAAGATCATTCTCGATCGCGAGATCAAGAGCAAATTTGAAGTAAGTAATATATGAAACCATTTTCTAATGAGCTCGAAATTCTATGAACATTTTCTTTCAGCTTGTTCTTGTGGCAGCCGATCATGGCAGCCCTACAGCATACGAAACACTTCGTTTATTAACAGTTCAATTAGTTGATACAAATGATAATGTGCCGCAATTCTACGAGGAATATAATTTCCATGTATCCGAGAATCGACCAAAGGATTATTTCATTGGCAAAGTTACAGCGGAGGATAAAGACGAAGGCAGACATGCCAAGGTTTATTATTACATAGAAGCAGGTAAATAAATAATATATACAAGATATTTAAAATCATACTTTTTTCTTCTAATTATAATTATATTCTTCTTCTTATACTTTCTTAATTAAAAAACTATTTTTCGATAAATATATTTTCACAATTTGAAGGTTGAAATATCTTATGAATGTATTATTTATTTTTTAAGGAAACGAAGGATACGCCTTTTACATGGACAAATCTGATGGCAGTATCTACGCAAACAAATCATTTGATCGCGAGACAAGAGATAAATATGTTCTTTCTATTCTTGCGTCCAATGATCCCGATCTTTACATCAATCCTGCACAATCCGGCCGACCGTTGACTCACAATCCAGAACACGGACACGTGAATATAACAATAGCTGTGTTGGATGAAAACGATAATCCACCCATCTTTGAGCGCAATGATTATTATGCCGGTGTGAATTCTATGGCGAACATAAATGACTTTGTGACTAAAGTAACTGCCTCCGATTTGGATGTCGGAGACAACGGTACTCTCCATTACTATGTCGCTAGCGCGAATCTTTACAAATATGGCTCGGAAAAGCCGAGCGGCTCGATAGTGCCAAGCCCATTCAACGTCACGCAGGATGGTAAACTCGTTACGAGCGGATACATGGCGGAATACAATCAAGACAGATTTATTGTCGAAGTTATCGCCAAGGAGACAGCCATTCCAGAAAGATACGCGATGACGAGAGTTCATGTAAGCTTTTTGCAATTGTCATTGTTATTATATCTAATATTAGTTTCACATTAACATTATCGGCTTTATGACGTGATGTTATTATTAGTATTGTATATTGATTTATTGTAAGATTTTTTTACATAATTGCTTTATTAAATATCTTCATTTTACAAATTTAATTCATTTTTATTTTTTGTTAAGGTATGGGTGTTTGAGCCATCTCAATTAATACGAGTCATATTGTCCCGGCCTCCGGAGGAGGTGAATAGCGAACGCGACGAGATTGTTTCAGAGTTATCCAATGCTACACAAAGCAGAGTCGTAGTGGATGATATTAGATATCATGTTGACGCTTCTGGACATATCCGCAGAGAATGGTAATTACACGCAGATATAATTCTTTCCAAAATTTTTGTATCACAATTTGTACATATATATCGTATATATATATATATATATA